CTGGAGTCCAGGAGCCAGGAGGCACTGTGTCTTCAGCTGCACCCTCTCCAGAGACTGAGGGGAGGCCCTTCCTGATGGTTAGCCGTCTAGTGCTGCTGTGAGAGGTACGACGAGGGGCTGGCTGTCACCACTTTACCCTCCCGGCGTAGGAGGCTGGAAGCCTGAATTCAGGGTGCTGGCTCAAGGGGAGAGCTCTGTTTCCGTGTCTCCCGGCCCTCGGAGGTTCCCAGCACAGGGACCCCAGGTCCAGAGGTGCCTGCCGCTCCCAGCTCTCCTTTCTTGGCGATAGAGCCCTCTGAGCTCTGCTCACTAGCTAATCCCTTTTATATCAAAAGGTTGTAACTCGAGGTACAGCTTAATCCTGTAGATTGTGTCCTGCCTCCTTAACATCCCGGAGAGGAGGATTTATAACACACCGCATGATCACGTCAGGTCAGGACATGGCGGACAAACACGTGCTGTGAGAGTCATGGCCCAGCCAAGTTGACACATTTTGGCGGACGCTGTTCAATCCACGACACTGTTACACTCTTGGTGGCCCCAGGTGTTCTTGGCTTGTGGCCCCGTCCCTCCAGGCTCTGCCCCTCTCTCCATGTGGCCCCCTCCTCTGTGTGCCTCCCCTTCTGTCTTTACAAGGTACCTGTGATTGGGATTAGGGCCTAGCCCGCTGACCCAGCATGATGTCGTCCAAGAGCCTTAGTCGGTCAGCGGCTGCAAAGGCTGAGCGAGATCATGGTATTCAGAGGTTTAGGGAGCTGGAACGTGGATACATCTTTTGGGAGCCACCATTCCACCCACTGAAGCCTCTGTGGGAAGACACTCAGAGGCCATGGGGGTCCTCCTTTGAACGTTTCTTCATTCCTTGGCTGAAGGACAGTTTCTGTGGCCCCAGCTCTGTTGGATCTTCTTGTAGATCATTGTGATTTGGGCCACATGAAAGATTTTTTTTTTCAGAAAACTTCAGAAGGGAGGCACTTTTTGACATGAGAGAGAATTTAGTTACCGGGAGAAAGGAACAGGGCCCCTGTGTGCACTAAATCCCTGTAATTGTACCTTTTTCTGCAGCAGGCGTCCTAACTCTGGCTGCACAGTGGGCCTCCCCTAGAGCTCCTGTCTGTGGGGGTTGTGGCTCCCTGGTGGCTCACGGCTCACAGTGGCCTCTGTCCCTGCAGTGGCTATGGATGCTGGGATCACTATTACGAGTCAGACACGCTCCTGCATTCGTTTCAAGTCTTGGTGGCCCTTCTGGAGTCTCCTGTCACTCAAGATGTCATCTGCGACGTGGGCATGTGAGTGCTGACGTGAGGAGCTTCAGAACACGGGCTCTGCGGCTGGCACTCTGGGATTCAGGCACCCAGCGCTGCCCCGAGTCCCTGCCGTGAAATCTGCAAGTTTCAGAAGCTACAGAGGTGCTGTCCCCAGGTGGCACAAGTGGTAAAGGAGCTCACCTGCCAACCCGATGGCTGGGGCTTCCAGTCTGCCCAGGGGCGCCCCGGAAGAAAGGCCTGGTGCTCCACGTCCTGAAAGTCGGCCCCTGAACCCCCATGGGGCACCCCTGTGCTCTGATGCACAGGGTCTCCGTGGTCAGAGCCGACTGGATGGCCGCTGGTTACCAGGGCCTTACGCTGACATGTGCTTTGTCCCCGGCCCCAGGCTCCCAGTCCCCCCGCCCCTACACGTAGACAGCTTCCAGGAGCTAGCTATGTCCTGGAGGGCCCTGTATACTTGATGGCCACGGTTACCAGGGCCTTACACTGACATGTGCTTTGTCCCTGGCCCCAGCCCCAGGCTCCCAACTCCACCCCTCTCCCCCTGCCACAAACAGCTTCCAGGATCTGGGTGTGTCCCCAGAGGGTCCCATGCACTCGTCCGGGCTTCCAGTTCCCCCAACACAGGTGGCTTCTGGCAGCAGCTGTGTCTGTCCTGGGGGTCCCGTGCACAAATAGGAGTAGTGTTCACCTGTCACATACGTGCTGTTCTCCACTGGAGAGTAAGCCCTAGAGATGGCCCCAGGCCACCTCACACAGACAGGCCTGTGAGGATTCTGAAAATGCTTAAAGCACAGTCCCCATGGCACGGGTCACCTTGCTTCTCTCTGTTCACTCACGTCCTGTCCTGTCTGGTAGGAACACGCCATCTTTACTCTTGTTCTTAGCATTTGCCTTGCGTGTAAGGAGCCCCGATGATACACTGGTTAAGGCTGGGCTCCTAACCCAAAGGTCAGCAGTTCGAACCCACCCACTTCTCCGTGGGGGAGAGATGAGGCAGTTTCCGTAAGGACTGTGGCCTTGGAAATCCTGTGGGGTGGTTCTACCCTGTCTTGTAGGCTTGCTGTGAGTTGGAATCAACAGCAACAGGTTGGGTTTTGGTTTGGCTTGCTATGTATTCTCTTCCTGTTGTTATTTTTAAGTAAGTTTATTTTTTAGAGCAGGCTTAAGGTTACAGGAAAGTTGTACCACAGCACAGGGAGCTTCCGCAACGTCCCCTGGTCCTTTGCTGACTGAAGCCCATAGGTTACAGTCGGGGTCACTGCTTGTCCATCACACAGAGCATGTCATGTGACCACTGGGACAGTGTCCAGTGTTGCTGCTCTGCAGAGCCCTGTCACCACCTCTCTATCCTTCCCCCATCCTGAACCCCAGACCCGCTGACCTGCTCACAGTCTCCAGTGTTGCCTTTTCCAGACTGTCCTGTCCTTGGCACCATAGCCTTTCAGACGGCTTCTTTCATTGGCCAGTGTGTGGGTCAGGTGCCCCCACGCGTGCTGGTTTCCCCACCCGTGTCCCTGTCCTGCAGGCCGCTTCCTCTGCTGACTGAACAGTGCTCCATAGTGTGGGCGTCCAGTTTGATTTGAGAAGCCACAGGCGAGCCCTGTGATTTTCTGGAAGGCTCTCGGGAGGCTTCATACAAAAGCGGGGTGTGTGGTTGTGAGCTCCGCGGGCATCCACCATGCCTGCCGTGTGTTCTCAGAACCAGCACCGACAGCCCGTCTCCCTTCCGTCTGCAGGCCCGTGATGCACAGGGATGTGCGGTACAACTGCAGGGTGATCTTTCTCAACAGGTGGGTCACCCCCCACCCTGGGGGAGAGTGCTGGGTGGGTCTCCTGCCTGCCCGCCTCATCCAGGTCTTGGCTCGGGGGCTGTGGGACTGGTGCTGGCCCCCCATAACAGTGGTCCCTGGAGACCACATGTCAGTGGCTTCTTTTGGGAATACAAGCCTTTAGTGAAAGCTGAGCCCTGGTGGTGCCATGGTTAAGCCCTGGGCTGCTGGACTGATGGTCAGTGGTTTGAACCTACCCAGTGGCTCTGTGCTTCTGTAAAAATTAAACTCATTGCAACTCTATAGTGACCCTGTAGGACAGTGTGGAACTGCCCCATAGAGCTTCGGAGGCTGTCAGTGTTCATGAAAGCAAAGCCCAAACCACATCCACTGCCGTGGAGTCCATTCTGACCCAAAGCGCCCCTAGAGGACAGAATGGAACTGCCCACAGGGTCTCCAAGGCTGTCAGTCTTCACAGAAGCAAAGCCCAAGCCACACCCACTGCTGTGGAGTCCATTCTGACCCACAGCGCCCCTAGAGACAGAGTGGAACTGCCCACAGGGTCTCCAGGGCTGTCAGTCTTCATGGAAGCAGACTGCCACATCTTTCTCCTGCGGAACAGCTGATGAGTTCAAACCACTGCAGCAGCCAAGTACTTGACCACTGCACCACCAGGGCTCCTTTCCGTAAAGATGACAACATAGAAAACCTCATGGGGCAGTTCTGCTCTGTCACACAGGGTCACTCAAAGTCCAGAGTTGATGGGACAGCACACCACCCACAGTGGGGAGCCGATGTGTTGGGAGGTGCATCCAGTGGTGGCGTTTCTCTCCACCTGTGTCTCTCTCACGCGTGCATCTTGTCTGATTAGACAGAGACTTGGTGTGGATTTGGGGACACACATCCTTGTGGCCTGGAGCTCAGGCTAGGTGACGGGGTTTGTGAGTTCTGTGGAGGCCCTGGGCATCAGCTACCAGCAGACCCATCCCTTGGGTCTTCAGACTCGGCCGTCATCGTCTGAGGGATGGAGCCCCAGGGGTGTAGGGAGGCTGGTGCTGCCATGACAGGAAGCTGAAGCCCAGCGTCTGTGTCCTGGCACTGCCCAAACACCATCCACGGGTGCTTTTAAGGGACAGAAATGGCCTCTCTCATGGTTCAGGAGGCTGGACATGCGAGTTCAGGGCTCTGGGTCTAGGGCATGCCCTCTATCTACTTGGGGAAGGTCCCTGTCTCTTTCCCCCTTTCTTCTTGGGTCCCTTGCAATCTCTGGATGGCACCTCTTTCCCACGTGCACTTGCCACTGGGCCTGATCTGGCCCTTTCCATCTCCGAAGAGATTGGCCTCAGACACACCTATGTGGATATGGCTTTGTTAACATGATGGGGCCATGTCCATCTACAGGGGTCAGGGGTTAGACATGTATTTTTGGGGACAGAATCCCTAACACCCAGGGAAGGACAGTGTTTAGTGTGGAGCCCCGCTTTTGAGCTGGCTCTGCGTCTGCTGCGTACCCCCGAAGAGTGCTGGCCACCTGCCCTGCCTGCTCCTTGTCCCAGGAGCACGTGGTGACGGCCTTGTCCCCGCCTGCAGGAAGATCCTGCTTATCCGCCCCAAGATGGCCTTGGCCAACGAAGGCAACTACCGGGAGCTGCGCTGGTTCAGCCCTTGGTCCAAGAGCCGGTGAGTGGCCCGTGTGCTGGAGGATGGTGTGTCATCACGCACAGGCTGCCCGGTGGGCGTCTTCCCTGTGTGCGTGGCGCGGCCTCTCCTGGGCGTCTTCCTTGTGGGCGTGGTGTGGCCCTTCCTGGGCGTCCTCCCCATGTGCGTGGCATGGTCCCCCCTCCCTGTGTGTGTGGCACGGTCCCTCCTGGGCGTCCTCCCTGTGTGCATGGTGTGGTCCCTCCTGGGCGTCCTCCCTGTGTGCATGGCGTGGTCCCCCCTCCTTGTGTGTGTGGCACGGTCCCTCCTGGGCGTCTTCCCTGTGTGCCTGGTGTGGCCCCTCCTGGGCATCCTCCCTGTGTGCATGGTGTGGTCCTTCCTGGGATGCTGAGTCAGCATCTCTCCTGTCTGTAAGCATCGTGTGTGGTCCCTCCTTGGGCTGCTGAGTTGGCATCTTCCCTGTGAGCATGGTGTGGTCCCTACTGGGATACTGACTCACCATCTCTCCTGTGAGCAGCCTGGTTTCAGAGCCAGTGTGATGTGCAAGAGCACAGGGCAAGGTGCCCCACCCAGGTCCCTGCCACTTAGAAGTGGCTGTTTTTATGCTGATAATTAAATGATACCCAGCTCCACACAAACCACATGAAACTCCATCACCAGCTTGGACACATGATACTGAGTCCATCACCAAAGGACAGACACCGTATGACCTCACTCCTAGGCAATGTCTAGAACAGTCCAGGGTTTATCAGTGTGACCAGGGGCTGGGGTGCAGGGGAAGGGATGTTAAAATAGGAAGTACTCAAATAGGTGGAGACAACCCACGTCCGTCAACAGAGGATGGATCCACACAGTGTGGTCCATCCACGGGGTGGGTAGTCGTCAGCCATGGAGAGACATGGTGAACTTTGAACACGAGATGCTGGGTGAAGTAGTCTGGCACTGAAGGACACATGTCATGTGGGCCCAGTTCCATGGCATCTCTGGAACAGGCAGAGGCATGCAGACCACCGTTCAGTGTGGCCGTCAAGGATGGAGGGATGGAGCGCTCAGCACTGGGGACCCTGAGCCCCCGTTCAGGTGATGGAGGGTCTGGAGCCCTGCGGTGGAGGTGGTTGCACAGTGTGGTGACTGTCAACAGTCACTGAGTCGCACGTGGAAATGTGGAAATGGCATTTTTTTTTCTTTTATTGTGTTGAAAACATATCCAAGACGTTTACCAAGGGAACAGTGTCCCCATGTACAGCTCAGGGACACTGATGGCATTCTCCATGTTGTGTCCTTACTGCTGGCCTTGTGCAAAATGTGCCACCACCATTAGCATGAACTCAATGCCCTGTAAGCGGAAGCCTCCCCTCCCCTGCCTCCTTACCCCAGTAACCGCCGATCGTCGTCGGGTTGGGCAATCTGCTGCTGTAGAGGTGCCACCTCGGAAACCCAGGGAGGGGTTGCTGTGAGTCGGGGCTGACTCGACGGCAGTGGGTCGTATGTGTGTATGTGTGTATGTGTATATATACATACGTATACACACATGTACACACACACATATATGTATATGTACCTATGGTTTTTTTTCCCCAACCTGTGTAGGAATTTCTCCCCTTCCCATCCCTGATAATCAACAAAGTTTCCTTCCGTATATAAACCTTTCCTTGACTCTTTACAATAATGAAGTAATTCTCTGTTTGTCCTTCTGTGATTGACTTATTTCACTCAGCATAATGTCTTCCAAGTTCATCCATGTTATGCGGTGTTTTGCAGATTCTGCGTTATTCTTTAGGGTTGTTGTTGTTGTTATGTGCGTCGAGTCGGACCCGACTCATAGCGACCCCTCCTTGGGTTTCCAAGGCAGTATCACTACGGAAGTAGATTGCCCCATCTTCCTTCCGAGGAGTGGCTGGTGGGGTTTGAACCTCCAGCCTTCTGGTTAGCAGTCAAGTGCCTTAGCCACTATGCTACCAGAGCTCCCATTTCTTTAGGGTTAGAAACGCCAAATACTCTGTTACCTATCTTTTTACCTCACACAAACAGCAGAATCGCCTCCCAGCCATCAACTGATGACCATCAGTCATCTTAAGGAAGTATTTCTTGTATCTTAGTTGTACTTGGCGTTGCCCAGGGGCAAGTGGGACCTGCTTCCACACACTCCACTGGGGACACACCTCCCAGAAAGACTTTGCATCAGAGCGGGGAAGCTGAGATGTGACAGGAGAACGCCGTGACGCCACGTGTGATTGCACGGAAGCTTGCTTTTCGCCTTGACCCGATCGTTTGGGACGCTGTGTGGACACCTGGCAGTCTCTCTGCTGACTCCCACCTGGGCTTTGTCTGGCTTCCGACTCCTCGGTTGCTGTCTCATGTTGTTGGTGTCTTCCTTCCTAGGCAGGTAGAGGAGTACTTCCTCCCTCGGATGATCCAGGAGGTGACAGGGCAGGTGAGTCCCGCGTTCATACTCCCTTCCAGCCAGACGTCACGATGTCGGGCTGTGGTGGGCCCCGTGGGG